AGATAGATAGATAGATAGATAGATAGATAGATAGATAGATAGATAGATAGATAGATAGATAGATAGATAGATAGATAGATAGATAGAGATCAACAAATTTAGCTAAATCACACCCTTTTTAGGGTTATTGAGTTATTTATTTTTTATTGTTAATTACTATTATGGCTTGTTTTATTGACATTCATTTTGGATACCAGAGTAAAGGAGTTGAATGCCCCAATTGTTAGATTCTAAAGTTCCACTTTGTGTTGGTCTTCCACTTCAAATCCTCATGAACATAATAAACATTAGGAAGTTGGTTAAAATCTGATAAACTGGTCAAGCTAAAGGGGTGAATATCCTTTTTGTTACTGCCTGTTTTAGTGTGGAATAAAAGTGGCAACATTTCCCTGCTAAAGGGGTGTAAGAGCATCTTTATTCCGCTTATGTCTGGGTGAATAGATATGGGAATGTGAGGGCATCCTTTACATTCCAACTCCTGATGCATCCTTTATGACACTGAGTTTGTGTCTATGAGGACCACTCTGTGAAAGTGGGTGTCTTCCTGCCAGCGTGATTAATAACTCCTTTGGAGTTGTGACAGACCTGAGGGGCATCTTGAAGCTCATCTTTAAAGGCTCATTTCTCCACAATCCGCTTGGCTTGAACCTGTCTACCTGCATGTCTTACTAAAGCATTCATACTCCTTGACCTCTTTCACTTTTTGTCTCCTTACAGAAACAAGCTATTTTTTTTCTTTATTGGAGTTTTATGTGTCGGAAAAACAAAAATGTTATTACTGTGAAGGGAGACATTTAGCTTTTTCCCTAAAGGACTCAGAGGTTTGGTAGAAAACATCTATAACAAGAACAACCTGAAAACCGAAGAATATGACTGCACAGCATGTGACAAATACAGAGTGAAGCATTCATTTAAGATGCACAGTTTGAAGGGAGGGCACAGAAAAGCAGGAAGGCAGGCAGAGCACGCAGTCACTAAAATGTCATCAACGCTGGGAGGAGACAATCTGGTGGGAAATAACTGAGAGAAGAAGGGATTCATAGGAACAGTAACAGCTGGGAGGAATAAGGATGAGTGGGGGAGTGACAGGGTTGTCTGTTCACTCTAATTAACAGAGTGGAGTAGAGCAGAGAGTGGTAAACTAAAACAAAACAAAAACAAATAAAACACATCT